TGCTGGGGTTATTTCCCCTTTCTCCTCTACCCCTCGCTGAACGAACGCTAACAGACACGGCAACGAGCATCTATCGAGGCCACATCGCACCCGCTGCCCCACCGCTGGCTGATGCGGCCCCGGGGTGCCCGGATCTGACAGCGGGGAGCTCCGCGCGGCCCCCCCGGCACGGCCCGACCCGGAGCAGTGCGGCTCTCACCTGTTTGGTCATGGAGTCTATGAGGCGCACGTAGAGGTCCTGCTCCGTCCTCACTCCTGCGGGGAAGCAGAGAGAAATCCGCGTTAGAGTTTCCCACGGAGCCGAGCGGGGTTACATCGAGCCCGGCTTGCAATTAAAATGAAAAGGAGTGGGGATGGGGGGGAGGGGAGGAAGGGAGAGAGAGGGGGAGAAAAAAAAATCAAAATAAAAATAAGAAATGGGGAGGAGGAGGGAGAGCTGCCCGCACGCGGAGCGGGGCGGGGGGGCCCGGGGCGGCGGGGCCGGGGGCGGCGGGGCCGGGCCGGGCTGTGCTCCGCTCCGCCGCGATAATTACCGGTAATTGGCAAAAGTGGGAAAAGTCACTTAAAAGTGGTGCTGCGCGCAGCGCCTATCGATCCCCTTTTTTACTCCCCACTTCAAGCCCGGCCGCTTAATCATGTGAAGTGCCATTGACTTATTGATCGCTCCTGTTTTGTTTTCCTCCCGTGCCGGGGAAGGAGCCGTGTTTACACGCGTGCAATTTTCATCTCCGAATCTTTACAAAATAATAATAATCATAGTCATAACAATGAAAGGCCTTGAAAAAGAAAGCGAGACTTTGCTGCGGCGCGCGAGGCGACGGCAAAACTTACCATTGCTATACAATAACTGAAGTTTATAATGAATCCCATTGTTAGTTTTTTCATTGTTTGGCTCCTGCAAGTAACGATAAATAACGACATTCAGTACGAGCGCGGCTCGCGGCTCCGGGCGGCCGCTGCGTGCCCCGCGCAGTCCCCGCCCCGCACGGCCCCGTCCCGCCCGGCCGAGGGGCTGCGGCGTTGGGACCGCGCTTCGGAACGGCCGGCACGGGAACGCTAACGGTCGGAACGGGAGCAACGATAGCGGTAGGAGTAGCGGCGGGCAGACTTACTTTCTCTTTCTCCACAAAGTCCACAAAAGCCGTTCTCTCAATCTCCACCGGCTGCCCCTGCCTGTCGTACAGAGCTAAGACGAAGTGGAAAAAATTGGATTTTCTCAGGTTGGAAGGCGGCTGTTTCTCGAAATGCGCCCGAGCCAGCCCTACGCCGCTGCGGGAGAGAACAAGACAAGGCGCGGTGAGCGCGGAGCGGAGCGGGCGGCGGCGGAGCGGCGGGGCCGGGGGGGCCGCACCTACCTTTGCGCGGCCGTGTTGGCATCCACCACTCCGGCCGTGTGCATCCACGAGCGGACCGGGTTCATGCCGCTGCCCAGCGGCTCCTCCTTCATGGTCGTTCCGCCTCGTGGTATATTTTCCTGAATCCCAAACATTAAAACAAGCGGGGGCGGCGGCAGCTCCTAAGCAAAAGGGGGGGACGCGGAGGGGAGCGCGGTGCGGTGCGGGCTCGGTCGGTGCCCCTCTCCGGAGGAGCGCTCGGTGCCGGAGCTCTGCGGGAAGAGAGTCCGCTCCGAGCCTCGCTGCCTTCCTCAGCGCGTCCTGCGCGGGCACCACATCAACAATTTGCGGAGTTCTTCTGCGCGGCCGCGCGGGTGGCGTTCCAGCTTGGAGGTTCGGAATGGTAAAAAAAAAAAAAAAAAAAAAAAAAAAAAAAAAAAAAAAAAAAAAAAAGAAAAAAAAAAAAAAAAAAAGAAAGAAAGAAAAAGTGGAACTACAGCCGGCGACACTGCGAGGTTTGGGGTTTTGGGGTATTGGCTTTTTTCTGGGGGGGCTTTTTTTTTTTTCGGAAGAATAAATATTTTTGTTGTTGTTTTGTAGATGCGCTCAACGTGGTGTCATCCTAGTAAAACAGCATCAAAAAAAGCTTCAGGACACTGCTGAATCGACCACTTCTGGCAAGGCTCTCCTGCTCCAAAAGACAAATAAACGAAAAAATGATTACCGCGGAGGTGTTCCCGGGCACAGGAGAGCGGGGCGCGGGCCCGTGGCGTCTCGCGGAATGGACGGCGGCGCGCGGAGCCCGGCCCTCCCTCCCCGAGGAGCGCGCCCTTCCCGGGAGCCGGGCCCCGCACCGCGGGAGCCGCGCTGTCAGCGCTGACGCGCGCAGGGGCGGAGCCCGAGCCATATATGGCCCGCACGGCCCGGCCCCGCGCCCGCGCCTCCGCCGCTGCAGCCGCCGCCGCCGCGCTCCTGCCGGCCCCTGCCGGCCCAGGCTGCTGCTGGTGGGGTGGGGTGGGGAGAAGGGGGGGTGTGAGTGGACGGAGGCGCGCGGTGAAGAGTCGGAAGGAGATAATTAAAGAGGGAGATGACGAGGGTTGGGAAAGGGATGGGAAAGTGAGGTGAGCGAAGAGGAGAAAAAAAAAAATAATAATAATTTTTTTATTATTTTTATTTTTAGAAAAAGGAGGTAAAAAGAAGAAGAAGAAAAAAAAAAAGCAGAGAAGTAATTAATAAATGAAAAGTAAAATGAAGCCGAGGAACTTTAAAGCGAAGTGATAAAAAATAAGAAGAATGAGAAATAAAATGAACAACAAAAAAAAGAAAAATTAAAAAAAAAAAAGAAAAAAGAGTGAGTGCACAACGCGACCGTGGGAGAGTGGGGTTTGTCCCGCCGAGAAAAGCCTCAGCACCTGCCCACGAGCACAGGGGGTTTCGCCGCCCCGCACCTCTGCCCCGTGCGGCGCTGGGCCGCGGGGCTATGCGGGCAAAGCGCGGCCTGGGGGTGACAGCTGGGGGCGGGGGAGGCCGGGGGCGGACAAAGGCTGTGCTGGGCACCGACCTGGGGAGAGGCAGAGCGCGGCCATCCGCACACGCACGCACACACACACACTCACGCTCTCCCGCACGCGTGCGGTTGCGCCCTCAGCCCCGTGCCCGCGCAGCCTGCGCCTTGTGTGCGCGGAGCCGCCCTGCCCGCCGTGCCCGGCCCAGGAGTTCCCCGCTCGGGTGAACAGCGGCGGTCAGGACGGTCGCGTTGTTGCGATGAATCGGTGAGAATGGAAATCCGCCCCGTGCTGTCGGGAGAACCCGCTCCTTCCTCCGAGGGGCGAGGGAAAAGCTGCGTTAGAAAGCAATCTATTTTGCTGGTGTTGGGGGTTAATGACTATTGCCAAAGATAAGTGAATTATCAAAGCTGTTGCTCTACCCGATCTCAAAATCCATTACATTGCTGGCCGTCTAATTAAATACGTAAGTATAATAAAATCATATTTTATGACTATTTGAGGGTAATGAGATTAGTCTTTAGAAGCGATCGCCACATATTAAAGATGCCACTGTCTATAGAATGTTAATAACCTTAAATCAAAGTGTATGGAAACTATTCATGATAAATTAAAAGAAAATTCCCGTGTTCATCAGCAGCGCGGAGCGGTGGAGGCCCCCCCCCAAAACGGGGGGGGGGCGGGGGGGGGGGGGGGGGAGGAACGCAAAGCGGCCGTCCCAGCAGCGCTGCGCGGATTTTCGGGCGCTCCGGGCAGGCGCGCAGAAGGCGCGCACCTCAAAAGAAGCGGAAAAAAAACCCCACCAAAACATACGCGACGACGCCACAACGGTGCGGTATTTCCTACAGCGGAACAATGCCGAAGTTGTCCCTTCCCAGTGCTAACGAAAGCGTAATGCTTCAAATCATTTACAGTATCTTTAATTCAGATTACACGCGCCGAGGCGATTTAAATCTGATTACCAAATTAGGAGGTTTTAAAACAAATCCTTTTAAATCTGATACTGTTGACTAAAGAGGGGGGAAAAAAAGAAAGTTCCATAAGCCCATCGCATAAGGTAACGATCCTGCCCCAGAAAGAAAGGGAGTTTTAAACCTTTTTGACAACAAATGCAGCTGCCCCACTATTTTGGACGATATTAAGCGAAAATGAATGCAAATCTGTGTTCAGAAGCCATCTGGCCAGAAATAGGGGAATCAGCTGCTCCTCACAACAGGCTCTGAGGCTGAATCTATTTCAGCTCATTTTCTAGATCATCTGGTCCTGCACCCAAAGCGTGGAAAATACGGTCTTTATCATTCACCAACTTTATGTTGCGGGGTTTGTTGGTTTGGGTGGGTTTTTTTTTTTTTTTTTTTTTTGGTTGGTTTTTTGTTTGTTTGTTTGTTTGTTTTGTTTTTTCCTTTTCTCTTTATTTTGCGGGGATGGCTCCGCTCTCCCCGCGCTCGGTCGGGCCCCGGCATCGCTCCTGTCCGCAGCCGCTCCGCGCGGAGGGGCCCGGCCCGGCTCTCCCCTCTGACCCAGGACCTCTCGGGGCTTTTTGTTCCTCGGCCGCTCGGGAGGGGTGGGCAGAATCTCGCAGAGAGGCCCGGAGCCGGGCGGGCAGTGGGCTTCGGGGGCTGCCGGGGGCGGCCCGGGCCCTCCCGGTTCCGCAGCCCTCCTCCTCCTCCTCCTTTTGCTCGCCGAGTCTCCCTTTTGTGTGAATTTACGGGGTGAGGCTTCAGTGATCCCCCCCCGCAAATTTGCATTTAAATAGCGACATCAAGCGATTCGCGTGCCACACACCAGTGGGCTCCCAGATGTCGCTCAGATGGCCGCAGCCCAGCTGTCCCCCGAGCCGGGCCGAGCGCTCCCGACCCCCGCGGCCCCCGCGCCCCGGGTACCGCCCGCCGCGCCCGGCCCGGGGGCACCCCCCCCCCCCCCCCTCACTCCCCCCCGGCCGCAATAAATCACCTCCGCGGATCCCTTCCTCCTCTCGCATATAATAACACATAATCACGTACTGTACATGGATCGCGCAGATTAAAATTGATAGCCTCATTTCCACAGCTGTTATAGGATTCTCCTAAACTTTATTATTATTATTATTTTTTGGTGGTGGTGTTCCTCGGGACAATCCTCTCGGGACTATTATCGTAATTATTGCACTTTTTTTTTTTTT